CGATCTGCGGCGACGTCAAGGGCCGCGTGCCGCCCGACGTCTACGCCAGCGGCCTGCTGGCCCGAGACACCAACCTGCGCAAGAGCTGCGACAGCTGCGACGGCTGCGAATGCGACTCCATCCCCCTGGGCCTCTTCAAGCACGCGCTGATCTCATTCTCGGTCCTGCTGGGCGTCCTGCTGCTGGTGTGCCTGCGAAAGCTGTGCGTTAAGGCCCGGGACCCCTCCCCGGAACCTAACGGCATTGCCCCCGCGCTGGCGCCCTACCCGCAATGGGGCACGCCCACAGATTTCGAAAAGACGGCCGTGATCGTGATGCCAGACGGGAAGGAGGTGTGCATGGGCAAGCAGGTGGAGTGCGATCGGGCCTACGAGTCGTCGATCGACTTCCCGGACACGGACACGATGTCCGAGAGCTCGTCGGACGACGACGGCGTGGATGAGGATAGAGGAGACGAGGGGGGCACAACGTCGATCACCTTCGCGCCCCCTCCCGCGCAGTTCGGCGCCATGACGCCGGCCTTCCACCCGCGGGGCCTGCGCACTGGGACCAGCACCGGGATGTCGTCTCAAAACGGAGGTTCGAGCGACGACTCCGACGACGATGACGACTACGGGTCCGAGGAGTCGGACGTGGAGTCCCCCAGCGACGTGCGGTTCTCGCTGAGCGGCCTGGTGCCGGGGGCGGGCGTGCTGGCGCAGGGCAGCCAGGGGGAGCGATTCGACAGGTCGATGCGAGGGGCGGCGGCCGACCCCGCCCAAAGCCAGGGCCCCAGCTCAAGCTTTGGACAGAATGTGCATCAGGATCCCGGCCAACACTTCCCCGACGTCAGGATACCGTCGATGCAGGGGCTGCCGCCGCCACCCAGGAGCCAGCGCAGCCAACGTAGCGTGGGCAGCGCCGGCGATGATGTCAATTCACTCAATTCCCGAGAGGAACCTGCATCTGGGCGGTCCAGTGCGCGCTCGCACATGGCCCTCATCGCGTCGTCGAAGGACAAGTACTTCAGGCAGAGCCTGCCGCGGGGTTCAGACCGTCCCCGCCGGCGGCGATCCCGGAATCAACCCCGTGGGCCGGCCGGGATATCCATCGGCTACCCGCCCGGGTTGTCACTCCGTTCGTCGCCATCCCATCACGGATCCCATGCAAGGGAATCGCCGATGGGCCAGTCGCCGAGGGGGGTACCCGGGGAGTCCCCGCGGCCGCTGTCGCAGAGGTCCCTGGCCTCGGACTACGCGGAGGAGCTCAGGTCGCTGTCGCCGGGCAGGCGCAGGCGCATGGTGGTGTCCAGACTGAAGCAGGACGAGGCCTGACGAAATCGGAGTCGGAAGTCGGGGCCGAAATTTTGGCCCCGATTTTCCGATTTAGCTCGCAAACCGGAAATCGGTCGCGGGGGACCGATTCCGGACTATGCCGTAGCTATGTACGTTGGGGAGTGGGCGTCTGGAGTTTTGGCGCGCTCGGAAGGGACGGTGGGCTGTGTGCGGGGTGGAGTGTGGCGGCGTGGGGTGCTGAGCAATGTAACCAGAATAATGTGGCAAGACGACCACTAAATACAGTTGAGCGATGCCTGTGTGAAGCCTGGCTGAATGCGGCTGTGCTTTGGCAGTCTCTTTGGTTGCCCTGGTCTGATATCCTGGCGCGGCGGGTGCCGCGTCGACGTGCAGTTGAACGGCGACCATCATTGCGACGATGTTGTCCTCCAAGCGGGCATTAACGCACCTTTGTCAGACCTGAAGCTTTTGCCCATCACAGTCAATGGTTGTCTCAGGCGGCTTGCTACAACAGCCGAGAACTTTGAGCCAACGGTCGCCAGTTCCCCAATTAGCCTCAAGAAAAGAAATTAGGAATGTTTCTGGGATTAGCTTTTCTGGTTCGCTGCACACAAGCACACCTGAGAAATAAGCCTCGTAAGCCCGTCGATGCCATAGAGGCCAACGAAGGCTCACCCTCGGACATTTAGGTATCACTGTGTTTGCTGCAGGGCTCCCAATTTTGTGCTGCGGACCTGAACGGCGAACAAAACATGGACGCTGTGATTGCGTCAAATGCAATATTATGTTTGTTGTTTAGGTGCAAATTTAAGTGTAACTAATATAATTTAACCGAAAACGACGGAACGCGGCCTTTGCAGCCGCGAGGCGATGTCGGGCAGGCGCGCTGCCGCCCCAAGCGCAGTGCTCATTTTCCGCCATTTGACATTCGCTCCATTCGTCATCGTAACTCGTTTTACATAGCAAGGCAAGGGGTAACCGTCAGCTCCCTATTTGCACGAGCAAAGCAGGGTCCTTGATGAGTTCATTGACATCCAATGTTTAACACAAATAAAGTTCAGAAATCCGTAAATTCTTGTTAGCAAGAATATGGAAGCGAAGGCAATTCCATTCCTATGCACTCCGGAGCGAACAGGAATGGATCCGTTCACAAGTGCCATCGAAGACGTACCGGGAGAAAAGGGCACGTTGCGTATTAACGCCCTCGCCTCTGCCCTCTCACCCCCAGAGCGGGCTGCCGGGCGTCGAAAGGGCCGCCGAGTGGCACCCTTGGCTCCCAACGCCATCGGTTCCCCCCCTCCCCTCCCCTTTCTACTTCTCCACATAATTGTGCTGTTTTGCAAAACCTCCCTCCCCTCAATCAGACGTCAACACACCCCGGACCCAATCCCTGCCGCCACTCGATCCCACAGGCGGCAGGCTCTCGGCCACCGGCCGCAAACGCCTCCCAGGCCGCGGTGTCTGCGCCGCATCATCGATCGGAGCGGCTGTTCTTTTCTAACGGAGCACTGTACTTGCTTGGATCGGCGCGTTGTGAGGATCGGCGGCCGACGGCGCGGAGCGCGAGGGCGCCATGTTCGGCGCTCCGGGGCCGTCCGGTGGGACCAGCGCCGGGGCGCTCGTCCCGGCGGGCACCCAGGCGGTGGCGCCGGCAGCTCAGGCGGCGGCGCATCAATTCCACGGTGATGAGGTGGGTGTGAGCGAGTGGGGGTAAGATATGTTACAAAGAGGTAAGGAAGCAGGTCATACAAAAGGCACCCCCTCCTAAGCAAGTGTATGCGAGACTCTTGGGTGGGCAAGTGGCTTGGGAGGGGTGAGAGTTGAATTCCTTGGTTGAAATTTGCCGGCGAAACACAAAATGGGGCCCTTGCACCTTAAACCTTGCGCGAGCAGCCAGATCAATTCCACGCCAATGCGGTAGGGTAGGGCGGCAGTTCAATTTCTTTGTTCAAACTTGTCTTGGAAAGGCAAACTGGGCCATTGCGCTTTGGAGCTTGCAGCTGGCACTTTGCGCGGGTGTTGGGGTGGGTTTCTGGGGCAGGAGCTGAGCGCCGCGGTCGGAACAGGACGCTATTGAAATAAGAGCGGGGTTGTTGCTTTCGTGAACTTCCCTGCATGGAGCAACAACACCAGAAAGTGGAGTGCTGACTTCTCCAGGATTGTAAATTAGTCTTCATGCGATCAGTCTTTTCAGTTTTCACATCGCCTTGCACTTTCTTGTGAGAAGGGGCAAGGTCCGTATCCACGCTATGTGAGTGTGTTGCTGTCGGTGGACTATGTGCATTGTGTTCCTTCATGCTGTGGGGGTGGGGTTCTTTGCCGATCATTTTTGAGGTCAGTGTAGACCGCTAGCAAAGGGGCGCTGCCTGACTATCTGAGCTCAGCAGAGACACGTGACACGAACAGTGTGTCGAATTTTCAGGTTGCCTACAAGGATGTTCATTCGTTCATTCAGTCATGCATTCATTCATTCTTTGGGTCAGGATGGCACCTGGGCTTGCCGATGGATACAAGGTTTTGAAACAGAAGAAAACTGGACATCCTTGCATCTCTTGCTATAGTGCTCCGAAATGGTCTGCAAACTAGAAACCCATCCCCTGCACCATGCAGAAAAGGGCCACAAATGGGTATGGAGATTGGTGTTGCTTGATTGCCCTTGGTGCATGTTTGCTCGCTATTTCACACTACACTCTGCTGAGAGCGGCTGCTGTAACAAACTTATGGAAGTTGCTCAATCTTCCATAACATGGAGAAGCCCTCATTAAAAGGGAATGTCCATCCTGCAAATTTCAATGATCAAGAAACCTGTTCCCAGCATCGGATATCTGTAACTGATTGGTGACCATGGCCCGAAAGAACAGTCCATTCTTGATCCATTCAGCACACTGACAACAATCCCATGAGCTGTCTAAATTGTGGGTTTGCAGTATATCATTGGCAGTTGACGAAACAAATGCCCTTTTTGCACCTTTGGAGGTGGTGCTTGGTGCAGCAGAAGCGAGTTTGCATTCATTAACGCCCTACACAAGCGCAGATCCACAATGCCGATACATTCTCTTTTGAGGAGGTTGCACCCAGAGCCTTATGTACTGTAGTATTTTCGAATCTGAAAGCACATGGCAGATCCAAGTGGTGATCGGTTGCAATGCTGGCTGCAACAAATGAAAGCAATAGTCCGAAGAAGCCATGAGCTGCCAAGATCAGGCATAAATGGGGAGCAGGTTCCCTCTTGAACGACAGCTTTCATGTGGTTGATTGTGTTTGAAAGCTGTTCGGCTGCTGTCACTGACGGCATGAATGAAACTTCCCGACAGCAGGGAAGCATACAGCGCTCTCGTCATGTGACTCTGTATCAACACAAATTTGTACCACAATGTGCTGATCCATTGTATACAGGACATGAGCACTGTAACTGACCAGCACAATCGGTGCCCATGCCTGGACTGGACATGTGCAGATTGTCTCACAAAATGTGACTTCAAAAACGACATAGCTATACTAGCATTGCAAAAGCAATTGGCAACGAAGAGTGCTAGAAGGCAGTAGGGTGCTGAAGTACATTGCACTTCACAGTGCAGGAAGCAGAGTCCTGCGCTGAAGGACATTGCATTCATGAGCACAAGAAAGGCAGCACAGTCCTGATAGGATGCCCCTGTTTTCTGTCCTTTTACATCTACGATTTTCCATTCCAGTCCACTAATGCCCCGCCTTTGACCTGCACCCCAGCTCTTCTCTGCGGTGCACCCCAGCCACTACCTCTCCCCAACGGACGAGCTCTGGAAGCTGACCGAGGTGTTCCTCAACTTCCCTGGGAACACCAACTATCCCTTGCACGCCACCTTCCTCAATCTGGCGCAGGGCCAGCAGGCAAACCTGGGCAACCAGGCGGACAGGAGCTTTCAGGAGTGGCTGAGCGTGAAGGAGGCCGCCAAAGGGCTTGCGGGGGTCGCTGAAGGGTGTGTGCCCTGAGAATGCAATACTGTTTCGGTTCTTTTTGTCCTGATGTGGCACTCTGGCTGTCTACTGGCTTTCAGTGGTAGTCCTTAGTGCAGTACTTTGTGTGTCGGGGTTTGGGGTGCAGTATTTGCCAAGGACTAGGGAGTCCGAAAAATGAATGGCCATGTCATGGGCTGCTGCATGTCCTCCTTTTGTGTTTTTCTCAGCTGTGCTTCTAATGCACGTTTGGGCGATGCACTTTGCAGCTTTTGCTCCTCAAGTTTGATTTTGCTGTTGTTGACACGTGTGCCTGGGTGCTGACAAGAGGAGAGGGTTGCGTCTTCGTATGAATATCTTTTGTTACCTTTGTCAAAAACACAGGACACAGGGCCCTTGCGCCTGAGGGTTGGCATGCGCACATGCACCATCTTGTTCTGCTCGATTCACTGATGAGCAAAACACGCAGCGTGTGGCTTTCTGTGTAGAACTGTGTCTCAGCCTGGCCTGGCTTATTGCTGATGCCATACGCTCTTGCCAAAGCTGCAACAGAATCAGGTGCCACGGTGATTTGTGCCTGAGTTTCGAGTATAGATACAAACTACTGCACTGCCTCAATAGCTTTTGACGCCTTCGTGCCTGACTAGCTCTGTCCCATCACCTCCAATTGACTCCTTTATATGTGTACTACTGTCAGGCTTGTTCCTGTCGATGCTGCCGGGTTTCCAGACTTGCGGGATCGCATGCTTGCGCAGACAGAGACATTGGGCAACCAAAAGGCATGGATCGAGAAGCTGCAGGCACTGGTGGACGGATTCAGGAGGATGCAGGAGGAGAAGGTGAGTGCATATCTCCAAGCAACTGAAAAGATGCACTGCTAATGTCAGGTTTTGCCACTAAGTTGGGTGCAGAGAATGGGGGGCCCACATGTGCCTGCACATAACTGTTCAGTTGATGTATTGGCAAGTAGATGCTTTGATCCATGACTTGTGGAACTCCACACGGAATGTAGCAAATATCAGTTTGGTTCCGAAGTCAAAATAGTTGGGCAACTTGTTCAATCCGGTGGATTAGAAGTAGCTCACACAATGGCCACAAGCAGTGGGAACCATGCCAGAATTGGACCAAGTTGTGCGATCTCAAGCATGCTGTTGGTGCCAATTTCAGCCAGTGTTGTTGGACCACAGGTGACGGACAGGCTGCGGCAGATGCAGGAGAACATCGAGTCGCACCGTCACAGGCTGCTGAAAGTTGTCAGGAAGCTGGACAACCTGGAGTACAAGTTCGCAAAGGAGTGGTGCGTGGAGCAGGAGGGACGTCAGAACTGCCGGAAAAATGTCTTTTGAGCTTGCCTTGCTGTTAGATCTGGCAGATGAGGCTGCTGGTGTGCCACTGGTGCCATCTTATCGGTGTATCGTTTTGCACAATGTCATATCATATGAATACATCGTATTATACAGTATTCAGCACCAGGGAATGGTGCGCAGGGGGATATTGAAAGCAGCACTTTCTTTGTTCCGAATCAGGTGGCCACTGTTGATTTGGGGTATGCAACATTGATTGTCGACTTTTCTGGAAATCACACTAGGGCGCTGACGATGAGTGTCTAAATTACCTCTCCAAAAATGGTACAAAATGACATACACAGCTCCACAACCAGTTAAGTCAGCCCACGGCCAAGATAACATAGGAGGTACACCACTTGGGGACCGGTGGAGTGCCCTTGTTCTTATTAGTACTAATGCAGAGGATGTATTGTCATACCGTCCTGCGGTTGGCTGCAGTACAATTCTTGACGGTGTTGGTGCTCTTTATCAATGCCGCACATCTCCACACAATCGACATCATGATGCCATGCTATTCCAATTATTATGACTGTCGTTATTTCTTAAAGTGAATTCGGTTAAAACCCGCACCCATAGTATCAGGATCCACAACTTTGCAGTGGGATAATATAGTCCTTGTGTAATCAATTTTCTTAGCATTGTCGCTACAAAGCACAATGATCGTCATCAAGAAATCTTGCATATCAACGCAAGGAGGTGGCTGGCAGCTCCCTACTTCGCCCAAGCGAAGCAGTCTCCATGTTTTGTTGCATGGGAAGTTCCCATTGGGAACCCAAGACATTGCCGCAATCCAACCACTGAGCTGTCGTGCACTGCCAGCCACAAATTCAGGAATTTTGCTGTGATGAAACCGCCCCAACCCCAGTACACGAAACACAATCATTGAGTATCAGGTATCAGCATCCACATTTCCGCCTGCTGCGACGGGCAGGCCCATCCATTCATTTTGACATCACGAGGCGAGGAGGTGGCAGCCAGCTTCTATTGCCTGGGCGCGGCAGTGTCCATGGCTTGTTCATTGAAGTCTAATGCGTGACACAAATAGAGTCCAGAAATCCATCAATCTCTATTTCAAGGAGTGTTTGTTGATGATCATGCGCGGAAGGAAGCGTCCTTTGCCATTTGGCGTGCGGGGAGACAAACAGAAGTGTTTTGCGTTGCGACGTTGAATGCAGGCACCAGGGTCGGTACACGCTCATGGACACGCAGCGGACGCAGAGTCAACTGCAGCAGTACGAACAAGAACTTAACCCCCTGTCAGGCGGGGGCCTCAAGGACCGAGTGGATGCGCTAGCGCGCCTGGCCAGGCTGCGCAAGGGCCCCCAGGCTGGGCCCCAGGGACCGCCGCAGATCGGCCTCGCCGATCAGGAGGACCTCGTGGAGGTGTACCATTTCTTGCAGGTGTGCATATTTTCACCTTGTGACAAAGAAGGGTGAACTGCTGGGCGAGCGTGCCAGTGTTTGAGGGATTTACTCGCTCGAATAATGCGTTGTTTGCTGTATTGATTGTTCAGTTGAATGGTAATGTTCTTGTTTTGGGTTTTGTGTTGATTGGCGAACGATGCATTTGGTAATGCGAGCGGCTGGATTCAATGGTTTTCAATTGGCAATTATTGAAATGCAGACTGAGCGTGCAACAGAAACAGTTTATGAAGATGCCATGTTCATCCAGTTTTTGACCAAAACACACAAGTTTGAGAAAATTGGTCATATTGGATAAATGTGGTCAATTAAAGCCCGCTTCTATTGGCCGCCGCTCGTTTCGACGATTACACTGTTCTGCAGTTGGGTTGAGAATCACCGTCTTGCTCATTTGGATGGACGACACCGTGTGACGTGCGTTTTGCACCGAACACCGAATTCGGCGCAGAGGCCTTTGGGGTGTCAGGCGTGACAATTGTCGTGCTCGACCTGCGCAAGCCGCCGGCTCGACAGTGTTGTCCATGCGGACTGACAATCCCTGGCCTATAGTGGAAAAAGATTGGTGGGACAATGTACTATTTGAGCGCTGTTAGCACATAGGGTATATTACTAATACATACTGGGCTTGATGCCAATGTATATCGGGTATTGGACACAATACTTAGAATGTTACTCTCAAGAAGGCTGTTTGCTCTCAAATACACAGTGGGGATTCTGTTAGGACCCCCTCCATGGCCGTCCAACATGATCTCGAAAGTGCACTGGAAGGCCCTTCACACCCATGACACATGGACGATTTCTGAGTTTTCCTCGAATTCACGAAATACTTCTATATCGTACAGAAGCAGTAGTTCTGGAATAGTACTGGTGGTAACAGTAATGGCCACAGCAAGAACGGTGATGGCGATGATGGCAGTGTGATTACAGTAGCCGCAATGATATAGGGAGGCCAGTCATGGTGATGACAATGGCTTCACTATCTTCTACAGGGCCATGTGGACGGGGCGCGGGCCATGCAGGACACTGTGCGGAGGCTGAAGCGAGACATGACAATGATGATGGAGGGCGGGCGGCGCGATGACACAGGGGCATGAAACTGTTTCTATGGCAAATGGTCTTGATGGTGTCTATGACAGGCGTTCCGGCATGCGAATTGGGCGCCAAATGCCTGAAATGTGTCCACAGCTGCCTGATAATGAGACCTTATTTGCATAGTGATTGGCTTGCAGGTGCCCGAAATGGGCTTGTGAGCACGGCACTGGGTCTGTTGCAGCACGAAAATGGGTGTGGCTCTATCCAGAAAGGGCGTTTCAATAGGTGGGATGGGGCTGCGGATGCACCAATGGGTCTGCAGCTGCACAAAGATGAGCCTTTGGCTGTCAGCCACTGTGGCGGCCAGCATGGATGTGCTGTGCGGAAGATCCCTGGAGCTCCTGATTGGGATCGGGCTTGAGGGGCGCGGCAGCGTGTTGACGATGTGGCAGATGCGTGTTGGAATGGGACTGCTCGATCAGCTACCACGAGTTTGGTGGACATGCACCGTGGTGGCGGTCATGTTTGCGCAGTTTGCTGTCTATGCATGGTAGTTGTGGCGCGGGTGGCAAGGTCAGGAAGGGTGGGGTGAGGGTTTGAGGAGGCGGGCGGCAGTCCAGACTGGTCAAGACACGGGAAAGCGCTTTCCTTGTGGGTATTCAACTGCTCCCCTAGTCTTGTGCTGAAATCGTAGTCTCTGTCCAAGGGACGGCGGTTGAATGTCTGCTAGCAGTACTGGGTGTGCCCCGAATCCATGCTGCTGAAAGACAGGAATATCGGAAACGACAGCAGCGTGGAGATATCGTGGCCCTTGCCCCTGCACATCTACAACAAAAGCGGGGTGTCGCTGTCCCCACCACTCGTTTTCAGGCCGCTGAACCCAAACCCGCGCTCGCGTCACGAAGGCCAATGGAAGATTAAAAGGACTCCATCGTTTGGCTTACTCGCATCCCACCGTCAGCCATGCGATGGCGTCATTATCAGTCCATCTCTGCGTGGGGTCACACGTAGCAATTCTGCATGGCGGCAGGGGTAGCGCTCAAATGGCCGACATTGCTCCAGACCAGTGGACCTAGGCCACTTGATGGGTACGTCACAGCCCCACCGCCAGGCGGCGCGCGATGACGTCACCGTGCGCAGAGATCGAGTCACAGAAGAGCACCGTCTTGACCGCCTTGTAGAAATCCTAAAAGTGGGCCAATGCGGCATTCCGCCTTGTAGAATTGCTAAAAGTGGCCAAAAACACATTCAGGTGGCCGGGGATTACGCTCCCAGCCGGCTCCCCCGAATGGCACAATCGGCTCGCACCTACCATCAATACAACGCAATCACGCCGTCCTGTGGCCAAACCGCCTGCCTAAACAAGTCAGCCCCTCGCCTTTCAGGCGCATGTGCCTCTGGGCCCAATCCATCAAGAGACAACAGCACAATTGAGCAACACCGCATTGCTTGAACACCCGCAACAACCTCAACATCTGCAGCGCCCAAACACATCGAAGCACACAAGGTTGAAGTACAGCGGTAAAGTACAAGGTTTGCGACAGCTGGGCACATTCGCCCGGCGCCTCCTTGGGCGGGCCACAATCCCCCACAGAGTCACACGGGGCAACGCAGGGGCTCCCCTTTCACCCATCGCTCAAGGCGGCCATGCAGATGTTCGTGGCGGTCTCGTTGAACACATCCAGAGCGAACTCCACGTTGTTGCAGCCCAGGATGTCGATCTCCGTGCTGGGGCCCAGCACCAGGATCTTGGCGCAGTCGACGTCCACGGTGCCCAATTTCGCCTGGGAGAGGCTCGCTGGGACGCACGCGGCCACAAGAGTTTCCTCGCATGCGGCCTCTAGGGCCGCCATCGCTGCGGCCGCATTCAGAGTGCCTGCGGGAGATCGGGCGTCAGTGGAGTTTATTGCAACCAGCAGGGATCCGGGCATCACTCCGCGTCCGGGCCTCACGGGGCGCCACTGGCGCGTTGTTGTTATTGCGTACACAGCTCCTTGTTAGACGTATGGTTGAGTCCCGTTGTTGGCGACCCGAACAAACCATTTTGCAGCAAAACTGTGTGTCATTGAACTATTTAATTAGAGAAGAACTTTGCGTTAATCATGTGGCCAGCCGTTCAAATCGATTTAAACGCTATGCGATGGACAAGGGCGTGGTTGCGTCCAAGGCAGGGGCTGCGTCCAAGTCCTTCATCGCGATGCCGCATTCCGGAATCAAGACAGTCAAAAACAACCCGCACCTGCAGGCATCATCATGTCCTCTTCTTCGGCCATCGTCGCATTATCTGCCATGGTTGTGTTCTCAGACGCCATGCCATCCTCAGGCATTGGGTCTGGGAGGTCTCCGCTGGGCACGGGGCAGTTGTTCTTCACTTCGCTGCAGGCGGCGATGGTAGCTGCCAGCGAAGCGAATTTCCCGCACGATTCACAGTTGTCGATGTAGGCTGTCAAGCCACAAAACATCCTATCAATGCTGTCGGCCCACGCAGGGAATCCAATTTGCTTTGTCAACTCTTCCTGGAAGCCATGAGTAATACTGGCCGTCAAGTGCCTTGCTTGTCCTGAAACCTGGACTTCGAAATCCGCACCCCGACCCACTGTGCCACCAGAATGGCTGGCCCAGCGCCGTAGGCAGATTGCAGAAATTTGAGGAGCTCCTGGTGAGGTTCATGAAGGCTGCAACCTGAAAATTGCGATTCCCCTTTGATTTTCTTTGAATCTGAAATTTCCTCTGTTGCAATCGCCAGAACATGAAGCAGTGCTGCTCATGTGCTGTTTCTCCAGCTTCGGCCATGGCATGGGAATCACAACAATCCAGGAATTGGAATTCTTACGCTTCTATTCCCTTTCATGACACATTTCTTCCCGTTGTCCTTTTGGGGCAGGTGTGTGATGTTAGGATGCACTAAAGACTTAGGAGATGAACAGCGTATCAGAGCAACTACTCTCTGGACAAATATGCACCCATATGATCATCCCTTCATGCATGTTTTCTTGCCGTTGGAGTTGCTGTGCTGTGTGCTCATCTGCTCACATTGATAGACCCTACATCGCCATTTCGCAGTATGGAACATTCTCATACCCACTTGCTTGAAAGGGTTTGGGTAGGTGGGTGGGTGGGGGTGGGGGCTATGCCCTGTCACTTTGATGTGCAACAATCCTACCCAATACACCTTGCACAATCACACTCATATCTTGTCACATCAAGTGGCGCCATTGAAATTCATGATCCAATCATGCGTGCTTTGATCAGAGCATTTCCAAAGATGACAATCAGCCTTTAACTGCTGAGCGATCCTCTACCACTCTGGTCACTTTGGACATCTTTTGTCCAGTTACAACGAATGCAAACATTGCATCCCCTTTTGGAAGCTTTGTGAACTGTAGGGGTTCGAGGCTGTCACACTAGGACAATGGTTTGGACATGCCCATCACTCATCCTGTGAGCAAATGCAAAGATGACAGGCGATCTGGCCTTGTGTTGCTTCCCCTGTCATAAGGTCAGTCAATGGACTTGAAGTCTGTTTGAACAGAGCACTCAAATACAATATGGCTGGCCACTGAAATGGCACAATTTCTAGTTCAAAATAGAGAGCAGGCAATTTTGTAAGTACAACGTGCTTCAAGATCAGCCGTTTCTCACTGCATTTCTAGTCATGCAAGCTCCCTGCAAGGCCCACCCCTCAAGCCCCCCTACCTTCGATAGTTTCTGTGTCTGTTAGGTCGGTGGGCGTTGGCAAATCCAGGCACGTATCGTCCTGTCCCATAACTGCAGCACATTCCAGCCAAGGCATCAACGCAAGCAAACGCAGGGAATTCAGCACAAGGACCACACCAGGTCATCTGCAGCAGCTGCAATCCCAAAGTTCACGGCGAGCAGATGTCTTCAAAAAGAAGATGCTGCAGTATCGTTGACTGGCTCAGATCTATCGATAAAGTGCAAAACAAACGCAATGCACTTGTGCACAGGCTAACGCAAGGCATCCTATCTGCTGGCTTGCTAGATTGCATTCCTTACACCCTGGCCCAAACAGTGCTGCAACACAAAATGAACTTCCAGCTAGCCCACAGCACCATGGAAAGCCACAAAACACTGCACTCTACCAATCCAGCAGAGGCTGAATTGAGCACTGCCTCGATGGCGGCACATACTGCCCTCAATGGATGCAACTGAGTGCCGTGGGTACTTAATTCACATGACGATCTCAGGGCTGCCCTAAACAACAGCAAGAAAGCATTATGCTGTACACGAATCACAACTGAGAAAGATCATTAGGTACTGTCAAAGTTCTGCATGGTGTCATGTTGGGTGGCCCTGGGGAACCATTCAGCTGTGGCAGGGGCATGGTCACTTCTATGCACTCGGGAGGCTCCCCAGTCGAATCCCTTACCCTGCAGCAACACAATGCAATTGCTGTTAGTCATGGGAGCTCAGCAAGCTACGAGCATTTTGCTTGGTTACGGATTTTTAGGAAGTGTTGATAGTTAGTAGCATTGTCAGTTTGTGATTTGTAGTGGACTGGGGCAATGAGGTTGTCCAGTGAAGCCACTGTGCCTCGACAGGGTGAGGATAAAACGAGCCCGCCAAACAGTGGACTTGTTTGTTTTCTTTCCACAAGCTTATGTACTTTCTCCAGTTCGGAATTGAAATGGACATGGGAAGTGGCAAACCTGCTCCAAAGTTTGTAGGAGCATGGTGTCCAAGTGTACTGCATCCGTCACAGTCTCGATCCAGCCCGTAGTCAATATTCAGAATCGAGAGCCTGTGTCAAGATGTATCAGCAACACACTGCGTACATTCAGGCCGGGAAGCAACAAAGACCATTTGGGGATCGGCATCCTATGTGAGACAACATCAAACTCTGGTAACTGACAGTTTGGAATTCACTAGCATCCTGATTGCCTTGTGTGAGTGCCTTGCATGTCTCCATCCTGCCTATTGAGCCAACTTTAAAAGCTCCACCATCACATACAGGGCTGCCTGGTGTATGGACACGTTTCACCTCCTTGTTGCAGAGAATCATTGTGGGTATATCAAACTGTCACAGAATGGCACTGAGCATCACCAACCCTTTCTCGCGGGGCACCCATTACATTGCCACATTTCTTGTCCTGTTCCATTTGACATTATGCCATATGATGCAATCAATGCCATAAAAAAGTTCCAGCCATTCTCATCTTTTCGTGCATGTGCACAGGCACTGCTCTGTCTGTGAGATGGATGCGATCACCACACACAGCAACAATTCTGATCAAAGAGTCAGGCAGTTGAATCGATGGCATGGACAGGCAGACAACCGGCCGATGCACAGGGTCTCAGTCCAAACACCCAGAGCGTGCCGTGCTTGTTGTTCCTTCTCTTTAACCACTGTTTCCATGCATGGCAGACATGTGGCAAGCGGGAAACAGGTTGAGGTGCAAATCCGTGTTTGGATGCGTACAGCCCAGCTTTTCCAGCGGAAAGGTGTAAGGATCCAGCATTGTCTTGCCAAGGCAAACGGAGCTCAAGGCGTTTGGCCCAAGGGCCTCCAGCAATCCAATCCCTGGAGGGCCTATTGCGCAGAAGGGGATGCGTGGTAGCGCTTGGAGGGTTTATGGGTGGGCTCAATCCAGTTGATCGATTCAGTTAAGACGTGAAGATTCACAGTCTTTGAAACAGCAAAGGCCGCGAGCGCGCAGTTCTGGAATTGTGGCAGTGGTGGTGGTTGGGGTGGGGAAGGATAGAGTGAGGTCAGCGTGGAGTCGGGTAGGGGGGATTAGAGGGGGAGGAAGCCAGTTGTGGCCAAAGCCACCACTCACCATCATCATTCCCAGGCCAATCCAGGCCACGGCCAGCAAGCCCACGGAGCGCCACATGTCCTCGTGACTGTGTGAACACACAATCGAGCTCAGACAACCGTGTGGGCGCAAAAGATCTCAATATCCATCCACGAGTCTCTCGTTTCTCTGTCTTCAAAATTGGCGACGCCAAACACTTCCCAGGCGCGACTGCCGCGGAAAAGTAGCCTCGTGCGCGGAGCGACGCCCTTCAGACCCACCGGGCGCGGTCCAAGATGCAAACACAGGCGCGCGGAGAGATATTGAGGGCCGAATGCGACGCGCAAGGCAAATCGCCAGCAACGGACGTTCCTTCCTTTCCACTCCGCCGCCCTGTGCAGAACAAGTGATGGACCCAGCGATCCCAGAACTGCTGCGCAAGCAGCGCTCGCGCCAGCGCGCAATTGCGCCACGGACGTGGGCCCCGGGGTGCTCGGCAGCTGATGCGAGCACCCCCCCCACACACACACCACCCCACCACCCCTCTCCCACCACCACCCACGAACGCCCCCAATCACGACGCGTAACACAGGCAGCCCTCCTCCACCCGCCCAACCTCTTGACAACTGACATGCTGCGTTGACACCTGACGTTCTCTCCCTTGTATCCGCCCTGTTTTGTGTCGGGGCTCCCGCTAAATATCCTCAAAGGCGGAGGGAAAATGGGATCATGCGCCGTGACTACGTCTTGCAACTATTTTTCCACCCGCCCAACCGCCCTCAGACGCGCGCCATCACCATGCGCCCCGCCCCTTTGCGCAATCTCCCGCGGGCACGTGGATCAAGCCACCCCAGCATTCTTCCCCAGCTGGCCCGGTCTGATCCCCGACGTCCCGCCTCTCCATCAAAAAGACGATCGCCCACAGCACGCCTCGCTAAGGCGCCCGGCGGGAGGCCCCCCGATCGCCAGATCCGCCCCCACCTTGGATGCCGAGCGCGTGCGATGCGATGCAGGCGCCGATCGCTCCAGCCACGCGCGGAGGGTGCCACGGTCGGCGGCTTGTCGAGGCCGGCGGAGCTGGCGCGGCTGCGAGCAATTGCGGTTTGAGCTGCGGAGCGAGTGCCGGCGTTGCAGCACTCCCGCGGCAGACTGCCCGCCAAAGTTCGCACCCCGGGCGCGCAAGCCGCCTTGCACACGTGTCGCCGGGGCCAGGAGTGACCCATGCCACCATAGTTACTGTCCTGCACTGGTGCTGGTACGTAATGTGGGCTTACAAAGAACCTTTTTTTAATTCCAGAAACGAGCCTCATACGTGCACTACATTTATTACATTCAGTCACACACTGAAGGATAAAAAGCACAGTGACACTTGCTGCAAATTCTCTGTCTCTCAGCGGTCGTCACAAATGCACGGTGAGGAGATGGGAGACGGGATAGGAATCGCGTCAGGGTCATATCGGGGAGGATAGGTTATGAATGGTGATGTATATCGTGCCGTCTTAGGATTGGGCGGTTGAGTGTTTGGGTTTAACACTGGGGCGTAGGTTTATACGGTATGTACGTCTGGGGTGTCTGGCTTGAGAATATATATATGGAAATATCTGTTGATACATTGAATATGAGCGTGGGAAGAGAATGATTTGGACAGGGGGAAAATTGCACTGAGCAAAACGTCGAGCTCCTTCCGCGCCGTTCAAGGGCCTTCGACTCCCTGTCAAAGTTCCTTGGCCATCCCGGTTCGAGATCCCGCTCGTCGCAATCGCCGCAATCCAATGCGTGCAGTAATGGGCCACAACGCAGCACAAGTCAAACATTTTTGGTTCGATCTCCGTGGCAACCTTGGTGCACGCCATGGTCAAACGCACTCGCCGTGGATGGTCGGTCAAGAAGCCAAGACTCAGCTTGTCTTACAACCAAACCAAGAGAAGCCACGAACAAGTCTCGGGCTCTATTTAAATACCAGAATGCACCGCTTTTTTCGCCCACTAGAACTCACAATCAGAACTGCAGACTGAACTCATACTTCACACACGCACAACACGCTACCCCACAGCACCGACCCATAGTATCGACCCACGGCACCGACTCACAGCTCCAACAATAGTACCGACTCACGATTACCAAAATTAGTAAGAAAGAAGTGTTGGCCAGCCGTCCTCCCGCCATCTCAATCAGATCAATGTGTGCACCAATCAGCCAGCACATGACCAGTTGCTTAGGCAACATGGCAGCTGCGTCTGCCTTGGTGTGTCAGACTTTCATGTCCTTAAACTGGCTCCTTTAATGTGTATTCAATTTTATCGTTGAGTTTAACTGCACATCAGTGTTCATCTGGAAATTCGGTAGGCGTTGATGCAATGTTGATGGGGCTTGAGGCAACGGGGTCATTGAAGCAATGACTGGCAATGTTGAGGCAAGGCCTATTGAGCAACGGCTCACAGATGCCGGCGTTCGTCAACGACGCGGCAAGGTGTCTTTCGGCAACATTGCGGCAATGTTGCTGGCCCACTACCACCCATCAACGTTGCTGCAACGTTGAAGCAGTGGCCCAGCATGTCAGCGTCACATCAGGACTGATTGATGCATTTGCGGCCAATGTTGCATCAATACCGCCGTGCATCAATACTGCAACAAAGCTGATTGCACAAAGGTTCCGCAACGCACCACAACACGTCAGTTGCCAGCAACGTTGACAGACGCCTGTTTCGAATGCGCTGTTTCAATACCAAGAACGCCAAGGCGCGCGCGGACCCAGCAACAACGCGGGTGGACGACAACCGCGGACACAGGAGGTTGCGCGCAACGAGGTAAACCGCACTGACCTTGACCGACACACGCGTGCGAGGCCTGCATCCTTTCTTTGATCGCGACGCCCAAGCCGAAACCGAGTTCACCTTGGGACGCTCATGTTCAAGGCTTTCTGAAATGGATCCGCGACGTGCCCTTGTGGGACTTTCAGTGGGAATAGGCCAGCGGCAGGGGTAGCGCTGCTCAGCCACTCACGATCGTTGCCCGGGAGCAGCACGGGACGCTGGCG